GGGGGGGGGACTCGCCAAGGCGGGCGTGGGTACTGAGCGGCGTGGCTCGCCCCTGCAACCTGGGGGTCTCCGTGGCAGAGTTGGTGCATTCGGGGCCGGGGCGGGGACGGTGCGGTGGGGCAGGCGGGAGCCCCACGCAGCGCGCCGACCGCCGCTCGCCCTTGCCTCCGGAGCCCGCCACACGGAGTGGACAGATTGCTTTGTGGCGCACCCGGGGCTCGCGGGGTGCGGGCGTGGGGGTGCTCCTGCGTGTGTTCTCGCGCCGATTCACCGGGGCGGAAAGTGAGCCCCGCGCTGACAGCAGGTGGCTGCCAGGCCCCTCACCTTTTGGCTCCTGTCTTAGGGACTCGCGCACACAGTGCCAGCGCCCAGGGAGCTTGCGCAAAGGGGCGAGTGAGGGATTTGTGAATGGCGCTACTGCGAGGAAGCTGCGCCTTGCTGATGCAAAGGGGCTAGTATCCCGAGTGAGAAGAAAGGCTATTTATGGCAGAGTTGCGGGGTTCCCTTCTGTGTACGCTCAGCCCCTCCCGCTCGGAACTAGAAGCAATTCTGTTTTTTTTTTTTTTACCTTCTTGTAGAACATGCTGTGTAAAACGAAAGAAGGAAGTCTGAAATTCACTCCGATCTGTACAGGTAGAAGTGCTCCTTGGAGGTCATGGATCCCTTTTCTGATGTTTTGGTGTCCAGGTTGTCTGTTCCTCTTACCTCTTAAGGTCCCCGATAGCACCACAGGACAGAAAACCTGCTTGCTTTCAGCAGCTTTTACTAGTGAAAGCATCACAGTTGAGCACTTTCCTCCTGAAATGTAACACACACCCTCCATTCTTCCCTTCCCATAAGGGCTGTTCAAAGAATGTTCACCTATTTGATATGAAGAGATGTTGTTAAAAGCCCCAGTGAGGATGTAGAAGCAGCAACTCAGTGAGTTTATGTCGACAATGACCAACTCTTTAAAATCTTGTTACTGGGGACGACCTAGAGTACTCTTCATCTAGGCTATAGAATAATTAGTTTGTTTTGGTTTCTCCTTGTATTTGCTTTAAACAGGTGCCAATTACAGGGTCATAAGTGGAAGCTTAGATGTGAGTTGGGACAGTATCTCTCAGAGTACCTTAGCAAATTTGTTATGTCCTTTGAAGTAACAACCTTTGTTTCTATAGAACTGAGACTGGACTGTGATAGTGGGACTCTACTTCAATTAATTTAAGCTGAATTTTCCTTAAGACTGCCAAATATAATGTTTATTTTTTCAGTCAGGCTGAAATTCCATTTTACAACTACACCTTCAGTAGCTACACAAAAGGAGTCAACCTAGTATTAGAGTGATTTGTCATCACCTGGTTTAATTAAAGAGACTGACCAGAACTGTTTTGATTTAAAAAAAAAAAAATGTTCGTGTGGGTGAGCCCCAGTGTAAGCAGCTCTTTCTAGGAACCCTGTTCATTTGAACAGAATCAAGGATTCCTATTTGATGTGTATCTATTACTGCATTTGCAGTACTGGAGCAGCGTCTTGATGTCAGGTGGACTCTGACTACACCACGTTAAGACATTGAGTTTACTATCACAGCAAGGCTGTGTTACACAGCAGCACTCTTGGGTCTGTTGGCACGTAGCGATAATTCCATCACCGTGGTGCTGGAAGTCATATTTATGGAATGTTGTTAATGTCTTTGGAATCAGTGACTCTTTCTAACTATGGGCTGTTAGTTGATATCAAATTCCTGAAGTAGAAAATGAAACATTTACGACCTGACAGTTGCAGTTATTTGCCTTTTTATTGTACTTTATCACTCATTATAGTACTCATGCTAAAGGTCTGTGTTGAGCAATGGGTTGTCTTGACAGTTTTGAGGAACACAGGAACTTTCTTCTTTGCATCCCAACCTTGAGGAACTTATGGGCAATTTGAAGGTATCTGATGTGCATACTTAAATACATTATCAACAGCCCACGATGGCTTGAGACGACAGGTCTAGTGAGAAGTCCAGGGGTGCAGAGCATGGCAGTAGCATTGAATGGCAGGTTTAGTCTGAAAAGTCTCCAGTGGGTAGTAGGATGAGTAAGTTGTGGATGACGAGGCTTAAGAAGCAACATCTCCTGGACTCTCTAGCAAAGAGGACACAGGGTAGACAAGCATGCTTTGAAATAGATTTGGTTAGTGCTAAATATTTGTCCAGTTGGGTCTGTTTTGATGTAAAATGTTCCATGACTTCTTTTCTCGAAGGTTATGGTCAGTACTTCTGCACGTGAGAGGCTGAATCTGTACGTTGTTTTAATGAGCAGTTTATTCTCGGACTTCTACAGTAGTAAAGTGCTTGGAGGGAAATGGCACTTCAAATGTGTAAATGTCTCTACATCACGCTAAGGCGCTGAGTTTGGCAGCAGTATCAAGTCTTTGGTGTACCATCGCTTCATGTTAGGGTGGTCACTATTTCCTTTCTAAAACATTTTTGGGTCTCTTCACCATAGAAGTGTGATAAGGTATAAAACAACAGTATTGATGAACATGGATAGAATGTATAACACTTTATTGTCGTGTAAATGCATAGCCACTAAATCATATATTTGCTCTTATTTTTATTCGAAAACTGGTAGATTTGTTGCATGGATTAGATTTTATCTCAAGTTCTTACTTGTATACAAATGACACTTTGGCTACCTTCGCATCACCTACTGTGGGTATAGTGAGATGATATTAGGCCTGTGGGAAAGTTTTCAGAAGAGTAGAAACACTTTCAAAGATCATTTTGCTATTTCCTGGCAGGAGACTGTTTTAGTAATAGTAACATGACCTATCTATGCTCTCAAGTTGTGTGTGTGTGTGTGTGTGTGTGTGTGTGTGTGTGTGTGTGTATACACTGCAATGTGTGCTATGGTACAAAACAGAATCTGAAGGTCTTTTATAAAGATGCAACCTGTGTTTCTAAAGTGAGAGAGACTTTATAGAGAAACATTGAATGTTTAAACTGCAATTTCTTCATTTGACAAACATAACTGGAACCAGCAGAGTCAACTTGGAGCCTATCTATTCAACATGGCAGCTCAGAAGTATGTTACAGAAACAGTAAATAAATTGTACAAACAATAGGTATGACTTCCAATAACCAAATGGAATTACTTTTGGATTAGCTGAATTAAAAGGTTTTCATATATCTATGTTGTTGACAGTGCTTGGATAAGTCATTACAGAGTAAAAGCCTATTAGATCAGATTTCATATTCATGTGTGAGTGGAGTGATTTCCAGCACAGCCAGGCACAGATCAGTCTATCTCTCTGTCAGCTAATCTCTTTGCTGTTTGGTTGTGGATTAGACGTCACAGGTGTATCATTTTGATAATGTAACCTTGGCTACTATATGACTGAGAGCTTCTGCTTGATTTCCCTACTGGGTAGTGACAAAACCTACTGGCTTTATATAATGGACATGAGCTTTTATCGGTAATATGATCTTCACTATGCAAGAGTGTCAGTTAGCAATGAATAATGAACTATGGGGTAAAAGAAGCAGTGGGAACAAGGAGAGGCTGAGCGAAAACTTTAGTGGAAGAAACATGCTTCATTTTGGAGCTGAAGGTAATTATGAAGATGTAAAACTGGCCACCTGAAACTTCATCAAACTACGAAATATTCTTGTTTATTTTTTTTTAATTTAACTGTTTCCCTGTGTAATACATTAAAAGGGAAAATGATAGTGGCCATCTATGCTTACAAACATTGTCCATATGATATTAAAATTATTAAAAATATTTTTCTTTGTCACTGAAAATGAAGTTGTTTGACCAATTTTAGATACTTAGATACTTAGAACTTTGAATACGGCTTTGGGTCTTAGGGTCTTATTTATATTACATTCATAATTTAAAGAGTTTTATAAAATTAGACTGATAATTTTCTTTAGGCATATAGTCACAGCATTATGAATGTGGAGTTGTCACAAAGCATTACTCCTGCAGGTAATTTAGATAAAATCTACACATCTTTCCTGAGTCACATCCATGTGTTTATTTCCTGTGTGTCCTTCAGCACAGCTCCTGTCCTTCCCCTTCCTTGTCTAATTCAAATATTCAGATGTAAGTTACTTCCCTTCGATTTCTGTGCTAAGTCATTTGTCTTATTATGTATTGTTGTAGTTCTGGGTTCTTCTACTTGGTGACACACTGCAGCTTTTAATTGGGCATTTTGGAATTGGCTCAATATCAAATCATCAGAAATTACTAGTGCTTACCACAAAAATATTCAGAAAACACTAGCTGAATGAATGACTGAAAAAAATAACAGAATGTCTAGTGGCTGGAGAGGTGACTAAATGGTTAAAAGCACTTGCTGCTCTTATACAGAACCTGGGGTTGGTTCCGAGCACCCAATACTACATCTCATAATTTCCATTCCAGGGGACCTACCATTTTCTTCTGACATCTGCAGGTTTCTGCATGCATACAGTACACATACATATACTGAGGCACACATACATACACATACAATAAAGTAAATAAATATTTTAAAAAAGAATTCAGAATCTGTAACCTCATCCTAAGGACTTC